ATACAGAGAATATCGTCGTTGGCATACCCAACTTCAGTGGTACCCATTCCATGAACCTTACCCCCGCTCTCAAGAAATTTTAATGTTTTGCTCTTCTTAAAAACAGTGCAAGCAAAATTAGAATTAAAAAAGATCAGTTCCATATTTTCTCTTTGTCTCCTGGTTTGAAACTTTTCATTCCAAAAATATGCTCTCCTCAAAATTCAAAACCATAAAATACGCATACAGATCTTCCTAATGAATTTAAAAACAGATTTCATTGAAAAATATGATTAAGTAATTAATTAATATTAGATAATGATTTTTTTCACTTTGATTTTTCAACCTGCACCTATTAATTGCATTAATTAAGGGTCAGCTTATGTGCTGGCAAAATAATGAGATGAGAGAAAAAAAATAAAAATAAAGGTGCCTCTTCCGCGGGTTTACATAATTGTGTAAGTACTGGTTTCATTTAATCATTCCTATGTGATATATTTTTAGAAATGCCAATCTGATTTAAATTAACGAAACAGAGATGACAAGTAGCCTGTAATAAGTGCAGACTAATCGCTTGTAATAATAAGAAGAATCTGATTTAAATAATATACTCCAGAATACTGTGGCAACCTCAAAACTAGTATTGCCCAAAATCGGTGTTGGCCTTCCACTTTGCAAGATCAAGACCTAGGCCACTTAAGTTTTGCAAGACCAAGACCAGGACTGATAAAAAAAAAACGATTTTTAAAATAAAATTAAGGGGAAATAGTTACTAATACTTGACAATCTTCGTTACTATATGTTAATAATTGGTATAACCTATATACTTTTACATTTAACTCCTCTAATTTTTCAATCGGGCTTAGTTAGGTTTCTCCTATCTAAAAAATTGCAGTAATATAACTATAGCAATAAGGTAATAAGTAACTGCAAGACTGTTGCGACACTCTTGCGCAAGGCCAAGACCATGACCAAGACTGAATTTCCAAGACCAAGACTCGTCTCGGTCTCGCATTTGGGCAACACTACTCAAAACCACCCATGCTTTGATTTGATATTTAAATTCTTGCTGCATGATTATAACGTGCTTAGTATATTATAGTTTATTATATTGGAAATGAAAAGGTTATAGACGGAGGGGGGGAGTGAGAATGTGGATGGGGGGAGGAGGGTGGAAAGGGGGCAGAGATTGGCCAAGACGAAGATAGAATCTTTATACTTGGGAGGGTAGAGGTCACTCCAATCTGTGAGCTCCTGCTTTACTACCGTCTTTATATTTCTCTACGGGCTTCGCTTTTCATTACTTCTCCTCCCATCCTCCGCACAGCTCTGTTTTACAACTTGCAGGGCTATTTCCACTGAACGGAACTTGAGAAACTTGCTCTCAGAGAACTTCAGTTTGATAGTTAAGCCCATTTATAAGGCCACGTGTGTATCAAAGGTAGACTTCATCTGTATTAACAAGCCATACAAATATAAATATATTTATATGCCTTCAGAATACAGATGAATTATTTTCCACTTTATATTTCGGTGTAATGAAGAAATAATTTATCATACGTATCTTCACACAATTTCAGTATATAGGTATTAGGATATAGGGACCGGTTATGGACATGGGGTCCAGTGATGTACAGGTTGGACTTTAAATGTAAATAATAAGCTTTCTTATTGATTTAAAGGTTACAATGTTTTTCTAGATTGAAGAACAATACCCTCTATTGACAACTGTATGAATAAAGTTCCCCCCAAAAAATTTTTAAAATGCCATTGTTTTTTCTATAGTGGTCTTGAGATCTGTTACCGACCCCCTGTCCATTACTAGAACAATTGAATTTTGGTCAGTACAAAAGGATGTTTTTTTTAAATGGATATTATACCAGCATAACTCAATATTTTTTCAATTTTGTATTGTTAAATAGAAAAAGGAGACCCTAGATATTCTAAACGTCAAACGGAGAATTTTATAACTATAATAATTACGACGGCATAAGCCAAAAAAGACAAACATTTTACTACGTACATCACTGGTGCGCTTAACCTGCTGTAATATTGTGACGTAAATATAAGACTTATCTTACTTATTATTGTGTTAGTTTATACCAAATAGCATTGTAAATAAAATGTTTCACAAAACATTAACCAAAAATAGCGTTATCTTTCTCAGTGATTTTTTAATTTTTCCTTACGGCGAGGAAAATGGGAAGAAAACAAAATTTCCGGCACCATTGTCACGCTGAAAAAAAATTCTTAGCACAATTACCCTTAAAGCTGTAATATAATAAAAAATTGTATTATATATATTTTATTTAGTTCTATCATTAATAGATATATATAAACTTATGAAGTCTGTCAATGGCTGTTCACCAATAGAAGATTTTGACTTTAAACGTTACATTTTAAATGAAAATTTGAAATAAAAAAAAATTCTTCAAATTAAATATTATTGCACTGCTCGGTCCTATATCACCCTGTTTCTGATCTTCAGACCTTCCTAGTTATCATGTATGAGTTTCTTACACTACGTAAGAACTCCAATAATGGCTCATATTTATTTTATTATTAACAGCTTAAGATAAAAATATAAACATAGCATTTTTGAAATATTATGTCGGTGAGATCAACTAGACAAAAAAAAATGTAATTAAAAAATAATAATAAATCTGAATATCACCAATAAATAAATATTATTGTTCTGTATTGAGATTAATTTTATATCTTTGTTCTTGTGACATTTTCGTGCTGAATTTATGCCTCCATTCTATTCTATTTTTCCTTATTCACTAACTATATGAAACACCAATGTTGAAATCAGCTGTTTTTCTAGGCTAGTCTTTTCTTCTCCTTCTAGCATTTTCTTGTTTGTGCCCGTTTCTGTTGTCGAAAAGCCGCAGACTTTCCATTTCAATTGGCTGGAGGTCGAATAAATAAAATAAAATAATGGCAGTTGACACGTAAAAAATCAACATAATTATAGTAAAACGAACATATATAATGTATATACATTAGTTTGGAACTTGTAGATTTTTTTTGTTGAGTATATGGATATACTTAAAAATATCTGAACAAAACAATTTGGTTTATTACAATTTGTATCCATTAAACATGAAAGAACAACCATCATAACATAGATACATTTATATAACTTTTCTAGCTAACAATGAATAATGTTAAAATATTTTTGATTTCTTAGTTTGCACATTTCAGATTTCTATAAAATATATTTATACTTATACTTATTAAATATATTATTTCCAAATTTATCGGTGAAAATTAATGATAAAATTACGTGAAAACGGGGGTGTACACATGAGAGGTGAAAGAATCATATAATCCTAGGAAATTTTACTATATAATCATCCCTGAATATAAATGAGAATTTAAATAATAGGGATATTTAGGTCTTAATAAAATAGTTACGTATCTCGTATAAGCCTGAGCCTAATCGAATTCTCTTAATCGATATCAGATTACATATTTTATTTATTCAAGTATCTTATATGTTATCAATTTTAATTTTTTTACTTCAAATTATTAGGGAGGGAGGCGATACTCAGGCTCCCACAATATTTTTATTTAGGGGGCGATTTCCCCTCTGGTTTATCTCCCCCTCCCTCCACCGAGCTCCATAGTCTGCGCCTATTAGTTTGGGTATGCGCTATTATCGCTTTTATTAATTTGCTTAATGTTTTCATTTTTTAATGTTTAATGAACGATTTTAATGTATTTTCTTCATGATCTTTTCACGGTTTATTTATTTGTTGGTTATACGTCAATCTAATAAATAATCACATTTAGTTTTTGATTAATGTTTTTAAATGAAAGTTTGGGAAATCTTTATCCCCCACTTCAGCATCTAAAATAATACAATTAATATATTGTAGGTTCTATCATAAACCAGTCATTGTTAACGTTCAAAACACATAACATTTCAATTTTTTTTTTTCTTGCATAACTTAATATAAATTATTTCCTATAAATTTGTTAAAATAATAAAATACATACATGATATGCCCCAAAATTGGGTGGGTAATTCCAAATTACTAATAAGTCACTTACCCAATCTTCGAGCATACGTAAGTATGTTATTATTTAAGCAATTTATATAAAACAATTTTTATTAAATTAGACAATAAAACATTTTGTTTGGAATGTTATGTGTTTTAAAGTTTATGATAACTGATTTACGATAGAACATATAATATATCACTTCTATTATTTTAGATGCTGAAGAGAGGAGCAAAGATTTCCTGAAACATTCATTAATGAACAATAATCGAAAACTAAATGTTATATTTATTAGATATTAGTCTTGGTCTTGCAAACTCTGTCTTGGTCATGGTCTTGATCTTGCGCAAGAGACTCGGAACAGTCATGTAATTACTTATAAGCTTATTACTATAGAGATATCACTACATTTTTCTAGATAGGAGAAGCCTAACTAAGCCCGAATGAAAAATTGGAGGAGTTAAATGCAAAAGTATATAGGTTATACCAATTATTAACATTTAGTAACTAAGATTGTCAAGTATTAGTAACTATTTTGCCTTAATGTTTATTTGAAAAATCGATTTTTTTACCAGTCCTGGTCTTGGTCTTGCAACAGTTAGGCAGCCTTGGTCTTGGTATTGCAAAGTGCAAGACCAAGACCGATTTTGGGCAACACTAGTGTTTCTGGTGTCGTTAAAATCTGTAAATCCGGCTTAAAGTGATTACAAACTTGAAGACAAATTAAAAAAAAAAATTTACATGGCGTTTTCTCGTACCTATATTTGGTTTCTATATTTTAATAATTATGGAAATTCTATTCTATGGATGAATATAATCCATTTGGGTATTGAAAAATTGAATCATTAAAGTAATTAAATACTTATTACTTTATTTTTAAAAGTATACAAATTATTTTATTTTATTAAGAAATGTGATGAGAACATCTTTCCGAAGGGCTAGGCAGGGTTAATAGAAAAGAATAAGGGGAGGAGGGTGGCTGGATTTTCTGAAAGGGTGGGGGTTAGATCTGCATGTCGCCATGGCAACTGGACGCGGTCTCCCCCAATCAGTGCAGAGGACAACCCCACCATCTTACCCCCACCAACGGCCGCATCACTCAATATACTTTTCCCTTCTTTTCAGCCCACGTCTTACTTATATTCTCTTTAGAAACTCTAAACCAGAAAGAAAAGAGCGGTTACAATTGATTCCACTAGGCGTGCTTAATCCTAAATGTACAATGCTTATTTACTAAGATTGATCATAAAGTTGGTATTATTTGATGGATAAATATAATTAATAATACTAAATATTTCACTATCGATATTATGAGGGTGGTTTGCAGCATCTATGACATTTTGATAAATTTATAATATAAATTACTTGAAGCCATACACATCACAAAAAACAATAAAACAACAGTAAATTATAAAACAGACACCAAAAATTTAGGAACACATTATGCTGACGTATTAAACAAAATTAAAATTCAATAAAAATGAAATTGCAGCTACATAAAAAATTAACATTTAACAACAATAGTATAAAAATAAACAGTCATATCCAAAGGTCATTTGTATTCACCATGGATGACATCCAATAATATGTCTAAGAACACGATGATGCTCTGGATATTGTTTACTTTAATTTATTATAACATGAATTTAGAACCTGACAATGGAGCACATTAGATTTAAGGTAATTACAAATTTAATCTAACAATCCAATGCTGACATGTATTGTAACATGCACTATATTTTAACTCAATTTTTTAGCCATGAATCAACAAAAAACCATTGAGATTGTAGTTTTGAAGATGGAAGTAAATATCCCGAAACGTTAACATGTAAACATGTAATTTGGAAATACAACGAATAAATTCAATTGTTCTTTAATTGGAAGTCATCATTGCCAAAAAAACAAAGAATAACATACATGTTCCCAGAAAAAAGAAGATAAATTTATAAATAATGTATACTCCAATACAGATATACTAGGAATTAAGGATTTAATTTTGGAGGGTGGTTTTTTTTTAATACATTAAAAGATTTTTAAGTTGGTCCTTAAAACCTCTAGACATATTAAAAAAATAATATTAGAAGATAATATAATCAAATGAGGAACAATAATAATTTTTGGATATTTTTAAATATATATTTTTTTTATACTGGCTTATATTTAGTTACGAGAATATATCGTCTCCACCATGTTAAAGTAACGAATGCGAGGATCTGTCCAATATAAACTTTAGATTATAATTATTCGTAACTACAACCTATACATACATAATAAAGCTAGAAATTCTTAAAAATAACATTACTGATTCCGTTATTCCGGTCGCCATTCAGCTGGACATTTTTCCAAATTGGGTCTTAGAGTACTAGGGAATTGGAAAATGTGATTTTCTCATATTTGTTACCTTAACATGATGCCGACGATATTATGATTGTTTAAGTACACAGCACAGATCACACACACAAAAAAAAAATGAAAAAACAAAACAAAAATTCGTATTAGAATGAGACTGTAAAAAGAAAGGTGTTTTTTTTTGTTACTTCAAGTAACATTACACAGTCTACCTGGTAAACGTAATATTATATGCAGTTTTTTATATTTACTTTTACTTGACCTTTGGACGTTCTATAGCAAATTAACAGACTGAATAAATTAATTTTCGCAACACTTCCATTAGCTGCACTTTAAAAATGATAAATAGAAACCAGATTTAGAAATGAAATTTTAACTTTTATTTTTAATCAGGCTCGATGTTACTGGAATCTTTGTTTCTGTTATTCCGGAGCAAGAACCTTCGCTTAGCCATTTTATTAAATACAGGTTTTACAGAAATTTTAATTTTTAAAAAAATTATTTATATGTTCGTTTTGCCGAAAATTCTATTTAAAAAAAATCCTTTTTTTCTAAGTTACTCAAACAATTAGAATCGACAAATTAGAAACAAGTAATTCATTTAAAATAAGTTATAACTAAAATCTAAATCCAATCAATGTTTATTCCCCATTTAACTTAACATTTTTTTTTGTAAGAACTTAAATAAATAAAAGTTAAACTTTTGCTGTATACCTAAAACTTTATTACAAAAAAGTTCTTTAAAACTTTTAATTTTTTGTTTCCTGAGACATATTGCAAAAATTGTTAAAATTGAACTTTTTAAAAAAGTTTCAATCCTTGTTTTTTTTGTCGAAATGAACATACAAGCATAAAATAAATTCTCTAGAACGAAGTTTCAGAAATTTTTAAAAATTAACACTTTATTGGTAGGAGATTGGAAATAGATGAGTAAATGCTACTCTGAGTACCAAACACCTAGTATTTTACTCAAATTGAATAACTATTTGACATTCAATCACTACTTCAGTAAATCGTTAGACATCAACCGAAGTAGTAATTAAATTCTATCGTACTAAAAAAATGTCATTATTTGAGTTAAACACCCGGTACTCAATTCTTGGATTAGCATTTCCCCATCTCTGATTGGAAATCATAATATACTAGAGAAATGAACAATTACATTTCCAGAGTTTCATTATTTGTGAGACTGATTGCATGCTGATACATACTATATAGATATATTATTTTTTTTGTTCTTCCCTACCTTACCTTAATTATTATATGTTTCTTGTGGTTACTGTGCCAGTTTAGGATTCTATCACTAGTTATTGTTTTTTTGCACCATGCCGTGCTAAGATCGCCGGCATTATTATATATCAGATAAACTAAAATTCACAATGGAATTGGAGAATAACAACAAAATAAGATATCTTGATATGTATATTCACAGAAATGAAAGCGGCGATCTTAGCACGGCATGGTGCAAAAAAACAATAACTAGTGATAGAATCCTAAACTGGCACAGTAACCACAAGAAACATATAATAATTAACACAGCTAAAAATTTAATAAATAAGGCAAAATTAATAACAGATCAAAACCATATAAAAGAAATCAAAGCACAAATATATCAAATTCTATTAGAAAATTGGTACCCCATTCGATTAATTAATAAATTATGGTATGAAAATAAAAAGTTAATTATAAATGACAATAGTAACAAACAGATTATTGATATTAGCAATGATAGGAGTGAGAAAGTGAAGCAAAATATTAAAATTAATAAAGAACCGAATTTAATAACAAAGTATTTTAAAACTGCAAATGCAGTAAAACAAAAACCTTCCATGAACGATATACATGACATTAAGACACAAATTGAAAAATGTAATGGGAACTAACAACAACCTAAAAAATATTTTAGCGTCTCATATATTAGAAACTTAACTGATAAAATTGAAAGAACATTTAAACAATACGATGTAAATGAAATTAAATTTGCAAGCAAACCAATTAATAAATTAGATACAATTTATTCGAAAACTAAAGATAAAGTACCTATCGATAAATTAACGAATATTATTTATAAAATAAATTGTAAGAATTGCGACAACAAAGCATATTTTGGACAAACATCCCAATGGTTTGAAAAAAGGCTTAAACAGCATAAACAAAATTGTAATTCAAAAAACACAAAAATTAAATTAGCTACTGGACTCTCACAACATAATATGCAAACTAAACATGAGTTTGATTTCAAAAATGCCAAAATCCTACATAATGAAAGAAATACGAATAAACGTAGAATTAAAGAATCAATATACATAACTAAAAACTTAAAAAACTCAGTAAATAATCATACAGACGTGGATAATATGAATACTTTTTATGCTAGTTCTATTGAAAAAATCAAAATTTGAAATAAATCAACTAATATTACTTAAAATAGATCCACATGTAATATTGAGTAACAGCATTATATATGTTCATAATAAATAGTCTTCCCCTACTCCTATAAGAATAACCAGTCACTGAATAGAAATGAGATGGATGACATGTGGGTGACTCAGAAACATGGTAAATTTAACTTATTTTGAATCATGTAATAGTAAAGATGAGTAATAATAATGTTGTTAAATAATTAAAGGTGAACATGACAATAATAATGAATTTTATTATATTGTAGACGCTTGCAATTCGCATAAGTGAATATGACAGGTACATGATGGGTATTTTAGGTACATAATAAGTATCTTTATAATTTGAAATATGTTAAAATTTAATATATGATTGTAAATGAAAAAATTTTTTTAGACTTGAAAATGGCTCGACGAGCCGAAACGTCGTCATTTTGATGAGTAGTCATTAAGTGACAACAAGTTTTTTTTTAAATTGGTGTAAATATGGCTGATAGTGGATTAACTTAAAGCTATATCATTACCGTTTTATAAATTTTTACTATTCCATACCTGAGTATTTGAATATAAATTCAAATAAACTTAATTGATTTTTCTTTTCTGTTTCAGGTGAAAAGCCTCACAAATGCCAGGTGTGCGGAAAGGCATTTTCCCAGAGCTCCAACCTCATCACCCACTCGCGGAAGCACACCGGTTACAAACCGTTCGCTTGCGACCTCTGTGGACGCGCATTCCAGCGCAAGGTCGATCTGCGCCGGCACAAAGAAACGCAACACACGGAACTGCGGCAGGGCAGGTACAGTCCACAGCCTCCTCCCGTGTAGTCCCTAGGAAAAAATAGCCAGATTAAAATTCTTATAACTATCAAATGTATCATAGAATTCCAAATGATAAGACATTTCTTCTAAAACAAAAATTATATATTTAAAATTCTATAATTGTACTTATTGTTTTGTAAATTTAGCGTTAGAAGTATACCTACTCATATGCCAGCATTTATGTGGATATGTATACGCCTATATAACCTGACGAGAGAGCATCTATTTTGATGCCCATTTGAAAGTGTTTAAATGATAGAACATTTTTTCAATGACATTTCAAAAATATTACATTTTTTAAATTTTGGTATTGTTAAAATTTTGGTATTGTAGTACCTTTCGCTTTTATTGTCGTGAGAGCTCCTTTTTCTGTGAGTTGAATCTGTCCGTAGCAGATTTAGACGTATTTATATATAATAAAAAATGCTTTCGGTCAATTTTTCTTCCTGATTTTCACCGCTCAATCGGCAAACTTTTAAAAATAATTAAATATTATTTTAGTAAATTATAATAATCAACAGGTCCAGCAGAAAAAAATGAATCAACGTTTCTGAGATTATAACATGTTCTATGAAAGTTAGATTTTATTATAATCACAGACCGGATTTTAAAGATATTCTATATTTACTTTATCCAAAATTTTATATAGATCCCCTCATTAGTAATATTTTAAACAATAAAATTCTTTGATCTTAAATATCTCTTTTATATTACGTTTTTAAAAAAAAAAATCATGTGAAGTAAAGAGCCGAGTATTTTAATTATAATTTGAAAAGTATTATTACCTAATTTAAATTTTCGTTACAAATTAATCTAAATTGATTATATTTACATATAATAGCTATTTGAGGTGGCAATTATTGCTTTAATTCATGAGATATATTTACTACATCGGTCTCTGGTTATGTTACAAAAAAAAATTTAGCTTTTTTTAAAACATATAGGACGTAGGAATCTAATGTAGCATACAATAGCAATAGCGGTCGAAAAAAACTTGATTGTGACAGAATATAATATTACTCAATAATAACAGTTTCAACAAAACAAAAATCTAATTGAAATTACAGTATATGAAGATGAGACTAGGAAGAGCTCAAATCAATGAATGAAAAAATAAAATTTGGAATTTGGGATTATTTAGCCAAAAATAGTTATTTAGTTTTTTTCCGACCGGCGCAGTATATATAGACATCATTTAACAAATAACTGATGTATTTAGACTTATTTTGTACTGATATTATATTGAATATGTTATTTTAATATAGTTATTGTAATTAATGTAATTGAAATGTTATAAGTGCTAAATATTGTGAAAAAATAGTTTAATATCAATTTGAATTCTATGCCGATTTTAATAAATATTTTAATATATTAACATTATATATATTATTTCATTATATTTTAGTAAATCTTATCGTTTAATGGTCTCAGAAACCAAAGACATTTTCATGTACATATCTAACAGTAATTTTTCCTTCTTCGAGATCTCTTATAAAATCAGTGTAAATATTAGTCTAATGTGTGAATAAACTGCTGAAGATTAACAAATGAGAAATCTAGTGCTTTTAAACAATTATAGCTTCTATTTAAACTTGTATGTATGTATCCAGTTACCGCACGTGTATGTAAGTATATATTGGAACTTGTAATAAATGTACAAATTAAATACATAATACAATTAATGCATTATATGTGATATGACTAGAAAGAGATGATTATTGTAGTGTTAAGTAGCCTTAAGTTAAACTTGAAGTAATATCTAAGAACAAAATTGTAGTTATTATTCAAAGTGAAATTGAAATAATTGGGACAGTTGAAATTTTATAAAAATTATTCAATATGAATTAAAAATTATGAAAATTTTTTTGTCAACTTGTCAGTAACTTTGGTGGTTTATATGCGTTAAGTATGATATTTGAGTGAGAATAAATTCTTCATTCTTTATTTTAAAGAAGTTCACATGGAACAGAGATGTACATACTGTTTAATTGTTATTCCTAAATTATTGTAAATGTTTTTAACTTAAATGAAGTTCTTGATAAAGCAGCGTTCTTTCTATTGTCTGCATTGTTGCATGGTTGTACATTACTCAATGTGTTAATTATATCTGTATAGATACACTATTTGTTAATAAAATTTTAAAATAATTATTTCTCTGCCCTCGAAAATTTCTTAAATCTTCCATGATTCCCAACATTTACTATTCTTTTTTTTTTTTTTTTAAACAGATACTTTTTGAATATTGATTTGCTTAAAAAGTAATCCAAACTGTTTTTATAAAACAAAAAAAAGAAAATGGTGCTATAAATGTGTTGCCTGTTAATCATAATAAAATAAAGCAGTTATTTAAAATGAATGCACTTTAGTATTTATCATGTGAAATTTTACTAACTTGAGATTAATGAGCATACTGTATACAGCTAAAATGAGTATACATCTAAAATATATCAATTAAAATTGAATAAATAAATGCAGAATGAGAAAAGTGTTTTCAGAAATTTAATAAATTAAAACAAATCATGGTGACAGATCAAAGAGTAAGAACAGTCAATATTCATTATTTTAAATAATAAATCATTTATATTATAAGACCTTTACATAAAATGAATTGAATAATAAGTTCCTTCGATAAATTATATTTATTGAAGCGTTTAAATTCGTTAAAGTAAATATTTCCTATAAATTAATGACGTATACGAATCAACACAATGCAATACTAGATTTAAATTCATTGATTTATATATAGTTTCATCAATATTATTATTTGTTAATAAACAGAGGAGCTTTTTTTTTGTCAATAACAAAAATATCATTTATTTTATTATATTTGAAAATTATTGTAATGGTGAACAAAATCAAGAAAAAACATCGCTGTGGGTATAAAATAACATTTTATTTTGATATTATTATGGAGTTTAGTTGTTAGCTTTTAAGTATTTTTCATACATTCCGGTTAGGTACAGCACACATATAAAAAAAGAGTAGAAAATATTTTAAATTTTAATGCTATGTGACAGAAGTACCAAGGTAAGTATACGTTTTTTCGAAATATATACATAAATCGTATTGTAAAACATGCAAAATAGATATCAACGTTTCCGATGTGAATGTTCCTCTTTACTGAGTGGGTTTCCATTTAGAATTGAAATATATTAATCCCATTTAAAGTAAAAAATCTTCAAACTCTGCTTATATTTGTATTTTAATCTTTGAATATTCATATATAAAATCGATAAGCGCGTATCCTTCCGTAGCTCATGCTATGAACTAAGGCTTAATAAATGTGTGGATAAATTAAAACATCTGCACATGAAACAAAAAATTAAAAATATTCTACACAGAGAAATTAAGTTAACGAATCGGAGGCAGTTAAGACTTTATAAGTAATACTTTTATTCATAATCTCTGTTACAAATGGCATCTTAAAATAATAAAATATACTATGAATATATGGGTTGACTGACAAGAGTTCACTCCAGGTCTTCTACAAGAGTGTGACTTCAAGAATGTATCTGCAAGACTGATTTGTTCTGAGGACCTTGGGTTAATATACCCAGGAATAGTAGAGAGGTGAAGGAATTTTGGGAGGTCTAGGAAGCATGTCCATTCCGTTACTATTAAAACTCGATTTCGTTACCTTTTTTAGTTAAGCATTAAGTGGTGATTTTTGTTTAAACTAATTTTATCAGAGAAGATTTTAACACAACGTCCACTATACAATTTCTGTTTCGCTCAAATTTTCATTTTTGAGCTATTCTGTGAGCTAATCACAAAAAAAAAGGCACAGAACGAGTATACAAAGAAAAGTTATTCAGGCATTTACTTCCCAAGAGGAAAGGCTTAAGTCCTTTTTAAATGGAATAAACCTATTATTATTATATATTTTATAATATAATACACCCTGGCGCAGCCCTTTGAAACCCCAATCGATCGCCATTACGAACAAAGGACGAAATCTCCCTTTGCTGAGATATTTTAGCAGAACTAAGCGCTATTAGGGCGGTACAATACTGACGACCGAAAGACATGAAAGGGCAGCTGATAGGGTTTGAATTAACATATTTTTAGCGACTAGTAAGCTAAGGTGGCCACAAAAGGGTAAATGGCCCCTGGCCATCAACCTCTTTCATCATCCTCCTCAGATTGTAATCCGCTAACCACCGCTTCGATTAGAGGGTCCCTCTTTCACCCCTTATTGTCCACCAATTACCTTCTGTCTTCTAAATCTCTTCTCTTCTTCTATTTGCAGTCAATTTCATCCACTTCAGCCTTTAATCTCGAGCCAATATAAATCGGTTCTTTATGGGAACATGGGCGGGTAGGTATTAACAATTCTAGTACATATGTATGTATATAATGAAGTCTATTTAACTATTATGGAAAATATATCAAAGATCATATGAATAATTAATAGTGAACTACGACGTTTATAGCTATCCTAATTAGAATTGACACAAGAGAAAACTTCAATTTTCAGTAAATAGTGTCTTCACCTCGTAAAAATCATTGGCGACATAAAGCATGTCTCTATCGGTTGCTTCTAGTAAAAAGCCAATCTTATTTTATTTGTTGAACATTATTTACTTGTTCACACCTTCAAAAAATTTCATTCATTGTTACAAACAAGTAATGGATTTGTTACATTGGAATTCATATAAGATATGTTATTAGAGTCGTTAGAGAGAAGAAAATACATAGCGATTCTTACTTTCTCCCTTCACCTTAAATAATGTTGTTGAAATACCATAAAACTTTGATTATTGTCATATAAAATATTTACGTATTTGGCTTTCTGTACGTATTGTATATGTGTGAAGCTTATCCCTAAATACAGTTGTTATATATTGTATACAGTTATTGTATATGACCTATTATTTATAAGATTCTACTTTAGCTTGCACTGTTTTAAGAAGATAAGAGCAATAAAATATCTTGGGAGAAGGGGAAGGTTTATGTACCATCGACTTTGGGGGGGATTGGCACCGCTATCAATGCCTGACAAAGTT